TATATTGCGAAGGTCTTGCAGCAATCAAGAGATTCATGCTTAGACAGATCAGAGTACACTCTTCACATGACCTACAGATGGCTATTGAGTGCAACCTGAAAAAGACAAATCTGACAAAGCCAAGACTGTATGGTCCAGAACTCGAAGACTTCCCAGCCTACCACATCTTCTTCACACCGCCAGCAGTCACTTATCTGAACCACAAGAACGAAAAACGTCTGATAGTAGTCAATGAAATTGAGAAATACTGTGACGGAACGCTGAAGATAATCAAAGAACAGCTTCTAAAGATGAAGGCAGAGCTAGAGGAAAATCTTCAAGAGGCATCATCTTACGTACAAAAGGAACACTCTACAGTAGAGACAATTTTAAAGGTCATTGACGATCGCCTAGAAAAAAGAAATATGCTGAGGCAATATGAACATGCACTTGGTATGAGGAAGCACTACTTCAAATCGCAGAAGCAATAACAGAATGACACTTGATCACAAAGGGGGAGATTGTTGGAGATATTTTAATTGTGAATCAAGTTTGTCATAGATTAGCTTTATAATTAACCCTTGTATTTAATTAGTGCATGAATTAGATAGAACTTGGGCCAAGTGTTAGGCCCATATAATCAGGCTAAAAGCCTTGTACGCCTAACCTAAACCTCGCCTATAAAAAGGGAGCCGAGGGTTTAGGATTATGTTAACGTCGTACTTATTCTTCATAGCCTTACGCGCATATTTTTGTGTTGTACGAGTTCACGGTCTATCAAAGAGGGTTTTACGTTGATTCAATCTGTGTTCATCCTTACGTTTAATCTTCGTTGTTAGATCGTTATTCATTGCTGTTACAGAAACAGGGACTATCAGTAGGCATTGGATCTATCGGCAAGTTGGATAACAACCCCCGTTTCATGTAAAGGTCCTAGTTCTAGGGAATTATATAGAGAATATGGGATGACATTGATTGATGCACCCAAATCTAACATAGCCCTAGAAGAACTAGAATTTCCAAGTTTACATGGTATAGTGAACATTCCCGGATCACTATACTTTTTGGGCAGTTTCTTTTGAAAAACGGCCGACACTCTTTCACTTACTTGGATTTTATGCTTGCCATTCAACTTGTGTTTCCTTTTAATTGTGCAAAGTTCTTTTAAAAACTTTGCAAACCTAGGAACACCTTTTATTAAATTGAGAAGAGGGATATTTACCTCACATTTGCTGAAGGTCTCATAGATGTCTTTGTCATTGTTGTATTTTCGGTTATCCTTGAGAGCCTCCGGAAAAGGTGGCACCGGCTCATATGAGTCGAGCGGTGGGAACTTTCTTTGAGGTGTGATCTCCTCCTCTTTTTCCTCTTCATTTTGAGGGTTTGTGCTTGGCATCAAGATCTTCTCCTCCTCTTCTCCCACATGGCTCTTTTCTTTTGCCTTAGCCATAACCAATTCTTTGCCACTTCTCAAAGTGACCGCATGAGCTTGTTGCCTTGGATTCGGCTCCGTTTGAGATGAGAGTTTTGCCGAATCCCTAGCTTCTAGCCTACTCACGGCATTTGAGATTTGACACATTTGGCTTTCCAAGTTGTGGATGCTAGACTTTGTTGTTTCTTGAAATTGGGTCACACTTTGTTGCATCGTAGTCATGTTCATGGCTAGTGCTCGAATCATGTCTTTGGTGGACATGTTTGAGTTCGATGTTTGGCCTTGTTGTTTAAATTGTTGAGGAGGGGGGTTTGATTGTTGAGGGGGTTGAGAGTTTCCGTACCTTAGATTTGGATGATCCCTCCATCCTGGATTGTAGGTGTTGCCGTGAGGATCGTACCTCCTTTGTCTTTGGAACCCCAAAGCATTGACTTGCTCGGAGTTCTCCTCTTGTAGAGTTGGACAAGAATCTGTGGGATGCCTTTGTGTTGAACAGATGCCGCAGACCTAGACTTCTTGGGTTTTTGGATTTAAGAGGAAATCTTTAACCAAAGAAGTCAAGCAGGCTACTTGACTCTCCAACGAGTTGTTGGATTCCGCCGCCATGACTCTCTTTGTTGACCGCCGATCATAGTGTCTACATATTTCGGCCAACTCCGACATAAGATTTCTAGCTTGAGAAGGAGTTTTATTGACTATTCCTCCTCCACATGCGGCATTGATCATCCGTCTATCATCATCCCAAAGACCATCATAAAAGTAAAGGATGAGGTCTTGCTCCGAGTAACCATGATACGGGCAGCTCGCACAATGTTTCTTGAATCGTTCCCAGAATTTGTAGAACGATTCATCATCTTTTTGCTCCACATTGCTGATTTGTTTCTTTAGAGATGAGGAGATTGAGGCAGGATAATACCTTTCGAGGAAGCTCTTCTTCATGGCCGCCCAAGTGTCTATGCTTCCCGACGGAAGATAGAATAGCCAATCTTTGGCGGTGTCTTTGAGGGAGAATGGGAAAGCCCTCAACTTAATTTGCTCCTCGGTAACACCGTTCGGGCACATGCTTGTGCAAACGATGTGGAACTCCGAAAGATGTTTATTCATATCCTCTTCTCTTAGCCCGTGGAAAGATGGAAGTAGATGTATGAGTCCGGATTTTAACTCAAATGTAGCACCCGCATCAAGAGTTGGGAAGGTGATACATAAGGGTTATTGGTTTAGATTGGGAGTTGTGAGCTCCCTCAGCGTTCTTGTTTCAAGAGCCATTGATATTGGCTCCTCAGACTCGCTAGATTGAGAACTAGCACTTGAGGATTCCCCCGACTCGGTACTTGAGAATTTACTTTTTAACCGCTCGAGAGCTTTTTCTATTTCGGGGTTTGTTTGGTAGGTGAGTTGGTTTATGGATCGGGTTTTTACCATATACTCAAACAAAGCTCAGCAAAATAGAAGACTTTATATATAATAATTTTTTTTATTTTTCTTGAAATAAAATAAAAAGAAAAATTAATTGCCTTTCCTCGGCAACGGCGTCAAATTTGACGAGCACTTTGTCACGGTGCGTCAAATTAATTTCAATACTAAACACTTATACGTAGTATAGCGTAGTAGAGTTCGTATCCACAGGGAAAGGAATGATTCTCTTTTTATGAAACTAGTAATTAAAAAGGGGGGGTTTTGGTTTTGAGTGATTTAATTCAATTAAGAAACTAAGATGAACAACCTATATGTGTTTAATTCAAGAATAAAAGGGACTTGGCTTTGCTACTTTCCATTTGTTGATATATTTTAGTTGGTCCTTGTCATATCTATAACTTATCCCCTCTCGAATACTCAATCGAGGAGTATCTCCAATTCATTGAGGGTAGTTATTAACAACGACCATTCATTAACAACCCTTACTATTAATCAAATATAGAACAACGCCGTATACCGATATAATAGTAGCATTCAATCTTTTAACTCCTTGATGAAATCAATTGAGATTGATAACATTAACACAACGGTCTCGGTTTAACCAATAAAATTGATCCCTCTTAAGTTTATTAACCACGACCGTGCATTAATAAACCGAAGTTACTTACTTATGAAACCACCACGATTAACCATCGGTTCGTTGATCGTTTCTAGTAGTAATTAATGTCGGAACGTTAACTAATCGTCACTTAGCAACCCTCCAACATTAATATAGAATGAGATTAAGGGAAGAATTAATAATCAAGAGAAGAAGTTAAGAAAATAACTCACAACTTTAATAATCAACAAGCTTCAAGAGCAAAACCAAGAATGGAAGTTTAGCTCCTCATTTGGAGACTAAACATAGCTAGAAAAATATAAAGAAATGCTATTCTAAACTGAGCTTAAGAGTATGGAAGAAGAAATGATTAAAGGTGAAGGAAAATGGGGCTATTTATAGGTGTTTTACAACACCTTTGGTCGGGTACCCGACCGGGTAAAGTGCCCACCCGACTGGGTGCATGTCAAAATCAAATATCCTCCACGTTCTGGTGATCTTCGGCATGTTAAAGTGTCCCGGGTCAAGTCAGACCCGACCGGGTGGGGTAGGGGACCCGACCGGGTGAGTGCACTTTCCAGGCACTTTCGGTTGTTGAATCAAACCCGACCGGGTGACGTCTTATGCCCGGTCGGGTATTTGCTCTTGGACAATCAAAATTTCTTTTTCTTCACTTCAAAGTCCTTCCTTTCAACACCATAATTCCTAATTCTACTTTACAACTTACAAATGAGAATTAAAATACAATTACAACTAAAATCACACAAATGTTCTCAAATTACTAAAACGGTAAACAATCCACACAAATCAAACATAAAAACAAACATTTATGCACTACTAATTAGTGCACATCACCCAACCACCAAATCTTCTGCATTAAATGCGCTTCCCGCCATGATCTTTGGCTTCCCGTCAGGATCTTTGGTTTCCCGCCAAGGGGTGGGGACGTTCATCCCCGTAAGCTAGCCTTCTGCTTTCTGCCGGGTCCCAAGTCCTGCAAGACGAGCATCTTGTGCTACTCTTGGGCCAAGGTACCTGCCCATGCTAGGATATATACATACGTCCCCTCGACCTTTGTGTTGAAGTCTGGCCCTGTTGAGGACGGACCTCGCCAGAATAAGCGGAAGGGTAACCCGTTGTCTTGGGCCTTCCGGGGACATTCGTAGTGCGCCTAAGGGTTTATGGATCATCCCCGTTGGACCATTAACCCAACAGCTTCAAAAGAGATTAGTTTAGGAACAATACATAAATGTTTCAATTGGAGATTTTTTTCAAATTTCCGACCAAAATTTTTTCATGATGATCAAAATTCCATGTGTAGAGTCACTCAATAGTGATCTATGGACAAAACTAAGGTGAAGTGGACTTTACGCATAGAATTTTGCCGCACGTGATATTTTGGTCGAAATTTGAATAAAATTTCAATTGGAAACATTTATGTTTACTTAAGGTATCGTTTTGATTTATTTAAAAGTTAAGGTACCAAAATGCAACATTTTCGATAGTTAATTAAGGTAACATTTATGTTACCTTAAATAAAGGTAACATAAATAAAGCTATTAGGTTACTCAAATAAAGCTATAAACAAAAATTTGTCTCAAGTTATTAGGGGAGGTGTAACTTCACTTTCATCACAATCTAAAATTGAACATAATTACGGAGTACTAACAAACTATTAATATATGGAGTATGACTTATATATATGATGTCATATATGTATGAATGTCATAATTTCGAATAAAAAAACTACGTAGTAATATCCAGTGAAAGTAGTTCCAGTTCCCATAAGCGTAGGTCCCAAAAGCACCACTAACACCGTACCTCCCTATCTCCGTCAAGTTGACTGTCAGAGCCCCTCCTCGATGTCTACCGGCCGGTTAGGTTACTGCATCAAAAGTCCAAACAAACCATCTGTTGCTGCGCTACTATCAAGGCCTCTCGATGCTGAGCTACTGAAACAGTGAAATCATTCACCTTTTGATCGAAGGGAATATTACCGATTTGAGCTTCTTCCATGCAAGCATCTATGAAATCATTGAAGGCATCCTCCAAAGTTTGAATAAATTGTGATTTCAACTGATCAACTCTCATTTCCCTATTTCGCATCCAATAGTTTTCTACCATAGAAACAAAGGCTATTGCAATTGGATACCAACGATAAACTCGAAAGTATTTGTTGTTTCTAAGCGTTGCTCTAATAGAGAATTCAAGCCAGCTCAGACTAAACATAAAAAACCAGACTCCGATTTCGAATAGTACGTCAATAGAAGGCCATGTGCTTTTCTTTTTGTAATGTCCCACACCTAAACTTATCCAATAAACAAGTCCTAGCAAGTTGACGACTATGTGGATAAAGATTATATAAGCAGTAATTGAAACAACATCCCACGCATCTAGAACATCACTGCCAAACAACATCATCGCCCAAAAAGCAAGAGTTAATCCATGGCTATCAATGTATTTTTTTGTAAAGAGTACCAATGCAATTGCACAAATAATGACTACGCACACAGAGAGTGCGATAAGTTTGTTGTAGGGGATATAATCTGCAAGAAAAAAAAATATCAAACAAGGAAAGGTCATGAGAAAGCTAAGTTTGATGAAGCTTGCAGTACATACCTAAAATATCCCATGGAGGAGAAGGAGCAGAAGCTAATGGCGACAACTCTTTTTCTGTGCTCATGCTTGTGGTGGGCCGGTGGCTAAGCTAAGAGAACTGTATATATGAATACTGCTAGATGAGTTTAGATAGTCATGGCAATTGGCAAAGTTGATGGTTAGAGACTTAGAAGAGTTGAGGTTCCGCCGCTACGACGTGACTCGGAAGGGAAATTTTATATATTCCGACAAATGATTAGAGTTCCGTGCGTTGGTTGACGAATTTATACGGAGTACACCGTATGATTTAAGGAAACTATACATGGAAAAAGGTGTTTATACATCTATTGTACAGTTTTTTGGGAAAAGGTGTTTATACATCTATTGTACAGAGTTTACTTAGACACTCTTTAATTCTTTAATTGTTTGTGTATACAAACAACTCGTTTATAAGTTGACTAGTAAACCAGTGGTGGAGCCAAAAAACGTGTGAGGGGTGTCGAAATATAATTATATACAATATCAAAATGGAAGATCGTTATTAAACAATATTTAAGTTGATGTTTTATATGTAGCTTAGATAAATGTTAGTTTAATGAGGCATATTCGGTTATGGTATTGATATATGTACGGAGTAATGCTCACACAACTAATGAGTGAATAAGATGTTTTATTTTTAAATTTAAGAATATAATCAATACCACTTATAGGCACTAGTTGTTAGTGCATAAGTATACATTTTTATTATTGTTTGTGATGATTATTTACTATTATTGTGGAAGTTTTTAGCCATTAGTTTAATTTGATTGTATTTGTATTTTTAGCATTGAATTGTATATTGTAAGAAGTAGTTAGTTAGACTATAAGTTTAGGAGAAGTTTGGAAGCAAAAAGGATGAAAGAACCTGAGTTTTATGCAAAACCTGGTCGGGTATGGCCTTTACCCGGCCGGGTATGAAGTGAAAGAGCAAATTGTTGCGAAACTAGCAAACACCCGGTCGAGTATGAAGTGATTTCGGACAAATAGACGTGCAGAAGAATACAAGAGCGTGGGAAAAAGATTTGATTTGACAAATACCCGGTCGGGTATGTCAAATACCCGGCCGGGTATCCAGCCATAGGTGTTGAAAACACCTATAAATAACCTCATTTTCCTTCACTTTTAATCATCCCTTTCTTCCATATACTTAAGTTCAACTTAGAATAGTATTTTTCTTTATATTTTTCTAGTATGTTTAGTCTCCAAATGAGGAGCTAAACTTCCATTTCTTGATTTTGCTCTTGAAGCTTGTTGATTATTAAAGTTGTGAGTTATTTTCTTAACTTCTCTCCTTGAATATTAATTCTTCCCTTAATCTATTTCTATATTAAGAGGCCGTTTGGTGACATCATTTTTTGGCTTATCAGGCTTATCAACAAACTTTTTCACCAAACACGTAACTTTTGTTTTCGCGCACTGAATTATGTAATAAGCAGAAAAGGTAAGGTTGGAGTTACTTTTCTGGCTGTATTGGTCGAAGTTACTGTAGATGACCATTTTAGCTATTTTTACATATAATTTTTTCTTTATTTTATTAATAAAATATATTTTAAAAATATTTTTTTCTTAAATCAGCAGAATCAGCCAAATAAGACGATTTTCGTGCTACCAAACGGGCTCTAATGTTGGGGAGTGTTGCTAAGATGATAATTAGTCAACATCTCAATATTAATTATTACTAGAAATGATCAACGAACTGATGGTTAATCGTTGATGGTTTAACAAGTAACTTCGGTTTATTAATGCACGGTCGTGGTTAATAAACTTAAGAGGGATTAATTTTGTTGGTTAAACTGAAACCGTTGTGTTGAGGTTAACAATCTCAATTGATTTCATCAAGGAGCTAGTTAGAAAGATTAAGTGCTACTATTAAATCGGTATAAGGCGTTGTTCTATATTTGATTAATAGTAAGGGTTATTAATGAACGGTCGTTGTTAATAACTATCCTCGATGAATTGGATATACTCCTCGATTGAGTATTCGAGAGAGAATAAGTTATATATATATATATATAACAAGGATCGACTAAGTATATCAACAAGTGAAAAGTAGCAAAATCAAGTTCTTTTTATCTTTGAATTAAATCACATATAAGTTGTTCATCGTAGTTTCTAATTAAATTAAATCACCCAATCCCAAAACCCCTCCCCCTTTTTTTTTACTAGTTCATAAAGAGAGAATTATTCCTTTCTCCGTGGATACGAACTCTACTTCACTATACTACGTATAAGTGTTAGTATCAAAATTATTTTGACGCACTACGACAAAGTGCTCGTCAACCACACCTCAAAATTTGCTTATTTTAAGTTTTAAAATGATGCTGATTTTCCAGAAGCCATAACATTTTACTCGTAATGAGTTACGGGGCTCATAATATATCAAATCGAAGATATTTCATAGCTCAACATTTTTGAACTTTCAGCGGGGTCGACTAACCACCCTGACCCCCTGGCTCTGCCCTTGTAGTAAACAGTGACACAGACAATTAGGAGTGTGTACACAAAATGTGTACAATCTATGTGTACATGTAAACTTGTTAATGGGTCAGATTGGGGCAGGAAAGTAGTGTTCAAGACCTAGACCCGCTAAGTTAATAATGGACACCAACACTCGTTCCGTTTACCAATGGGTCTGAGTATTTGGACCCGGATCCAGATTCAATGGGTCTCGGAACTGGATCAGATAGACCCATCATGTATGATATGCACAACATTATAAACTTTATGAAAATGAGAATGTTTGTACAGAGCCGGATTTTAACATACTCAACATGTTCTCTGGAATAGTGCCCACCATATTTGGGGCTCGCAGTTTTTTGAATATTAGTATTATAAATACTACAGTAATAATAATTTTATCAATAAATAAATAAATAAAAATATAAATAAATAAATAAATAAAATGAGTATACTAATCGGCAACCAGTCTAGGAGTTATTCGCTAAAAAGAGAAGCAGAGTGGTTCACTCCTCGTTTCTAGCTAAGCACTAATCAACATATTCACAATTCCGCATACTGCCAATAGCTATTTAAATTTTCAAATAATCGAATTCAATCGTCATGAAATTAGAAATCGGTTCATCCTTTGCGGCTAGCGATTCTTGAGTCCCGAATGTGCCTCTCTTGCTCTCCAGGCTCTCATCTTTGCTACTCTATTCTCGCAATCTGCGTTCAAGGTTTTTACCTTTTCCTCGTTGTTCTCGCAATCTCGCATATTTGCCTTTAGCTTAATAGCATGTTACACCTCATCTGCGTTCAAGGTTTTTACCTTTTCCTCGTTGTCCTCAACCTGGAAAAAAGTAAAATCTTGGTAAGCAAAAATATGACCACTCCAAGAAGAAGAGCTCTTAAACATCAAACAGGAATCAAAACAGCTACGCTGCCCACAACCTACCTTGGGGCAGTCCTCCACCAGGGAACCACTAGAACTCACCACTGCAAACACCTCATCCAAGCTTTTGAATCTAGACTCCTATCCTGGAAAAAGAAACTTCTGAATCAGAGTGGACGCCTGATCCTCATTAAACACGTATTATCCTCTATCCCTATTCACCACTTCTCTAATTCAAAAATCCCAGCTCAGGTCATCTCCTACCTTCACCGAGTCATGTCCAATTTCTTTTGGGGCTCGACAGGAGAAAAGAACAAATATCACTGGAAATCATGGAAAGCAATTTGCAGGCCAGGCACCGAAGGGGGATTAAACCTAAGATCTCTACAGGACTCCCAAAACTCACTCCACTAAAAATTGTGGTGGAAATTCATGGAAAACAACACAATCTGGGCAAATTACATGCATCACAGATACAACAGAGATGGGGATTTTAATCCCAAACAGAAAGACTCTCCTAGCTGGAAACTTCTTTGCTCAAACGCCCACACCTATCAACACCTTATTACAGTGACAGAAAACAATGTCAGGTGGACAGCAGAAAAAGATGGCCAATTCTCCCTCCAAAGCGCTTACCAGCAAGTTCGAACGCCCTACCCAACCACTTTCAGTCAAATTCAGACTTGGAACAACAAACTACCACTTAAAATCAAAATCTTTCTTTGGAAATACCTAAACCGATCCCTACCCTTCCCAGATAATCTGAGCAGATTTCATATTCAAATGGCAACCAGATGCCCCCTTTGCCTCAAACACCAAGAAACTGAAAACCATATTTTGTTTAAGTGCTCACTTACAAGACCCATTTGGGACTATTTTAGTGGTATTTTGCAGGTACGAAGGACACAACACAATGACCTAAGACAAACACTCTTTCGCTGGTGGCTGGGAGGGAAAACAGATAAAATGAAAGACACAATCAGACAATCAATGCCGGGTTTCATAATGTGGACAATATGGAAACAATACAATGCAGTACAACGGGACAACAAGCAATTCTCAACAAATCATACAATCAAATCAGTCAAGGAACTCTCCAGGGAATGGTGCTATGGGAACATCAACAGCAAATTCATACAATTCGACCCTGATTTATACACAGACGGGCTAATCCCCTCCTTCAAAAAAATCAATCAACTACACAAACATAAACCAATGCTCTGGAAAGAAAACTCACCTAATGCTTTCAGGTTGAACACAGATGGGGCTTTTAAAGACCAACGCAGCGCTGGAGGAGCAATTCTTAGGGACCGCTCAGGGAAACTCCATTTGGCTCTCTCCTTCCCAACCCTCACCGTCAACCCCATCCACGCGGAAGTCCAGGCCTTAGTTACCTCGGTCAATCAAACAATTGAAAAGGGTTACAGAGACTTCCAAGTTCAAACAGATTCTGAAATTTCAATTAAAATGATAACGGGACGCATGAAAATACCAACGTACCTCACTCAACAGATTGAAATCCTCAGAAGAAATAAGACCAGGCACAACGTCTCCTTCACATATCGACATCGACTCACTAACCAGGTTGCTCACCACCTCTCCCGGCAAGGGCTCCTTCAATCAAACCTCATATTCTTCACGGAATCAACTCTCCCAGAGCCCGCCAAACACGCCTACAAAAACGATCTGAAAGGGACCTTCTTCTTCAGAGATACCGGCTAGCCCTCTACATCACCTCTAGGAAGTGATCGCAGGCAAAGATTCCTTGATCCCAAACGCCCCTGGAACTAGGGTACGTGGACCCTATGCTGGACAATTCACTTCCCAAACTTGGATGCTAGCTGTTTTATTATTACTCCCCAGGCCCACTTGGACCATATATTCTCCGTTTTTTTTTCTTTTTGCTCCCACTTGGGCCGGGTTCTTGAACCCAAACTGGTCTCCTCACAATGTAACTCTCCCTTTGGTTTTTAATAAAAAAAAATGGTGGTTGTTATTTAAAAAAAAAAATAATAGCATGTTACACTCTTCACTTCTGGTTCTTAGTTTTGACCTTCTTTTCACATGTGTTATTAACATTGTTAATTTGTTAATTGTTACTTAGTATTTGTTAATTTCAGAAATAAAAATTCAGCTTTTGTTATTTTTAATTTTGTTGAACTTTGCAAGTTTTTTATTTTTTGTGATTTTAATTCTTATGTGGGTCCCATTTTGGTATTAAGAACAGGGCCTCTAAATTTATTAGACAACTCTGTATTTTCATAACAAGGTTTAAATGAATATTTTTATACATAACTACTATAATATCCGTGCATCCGCACGAATACTATAACAGTAAAATACAGAGTTGTCTAAATTTATTAGACAACTCTGTATTTTCATAACAAGGTTTAAATGAATATTTTTATACATATTTCTGAAAATTCAGAATGAGATAATTCAAGGATCCGGCGGGAGACTACGACCAAGGGCGTAGGTCGGGGGCTACTCGTGCCCCGGCCCACCCCAAATTTAAAAAAAAAATCGTGTGATTTTATGGTAAAAAAATTTCAAAAAGAAATTAAAAAATTCTTTATATCAGCCGACTGTAGATTTATCTCCTCGCTACGCCACTGAGACAAATGCCTAAATTGGGCATGCGATCTAAAAGTCTTATCAAACACCACACGTGCGTTTTTGCTTTACAATTTGGTAGAGGACAGTTATTGCATCTATGTAGCGAACTGCTCTATTAATTTGAGTGACATAAAAGTCAACGTCTATCTTACTAGCCCATCAAAACCTATTACTCCCTCAATTATCTTCAAACTTTCTTTTCTCGTTCGTCCCAAAATTATCTTCTTCTTCCCTTTTTGGCAAAGAATTTGTGGTTCACAATCATTCTTACACATTCTTACACATTTCTCTCTCCTCTGCACAACTCTCCACCACACAAAATTCACTATCTTAATTATTGTGCCCAGCCGAAATGGGAGAAAAAACAGGGACGGAGGGAGTAGACCATTTGTATACCGAAGAGAGATTAGAGGTTAAGAAAAAAGAAAAAAAAAGACACCCCATCCCTCATGGCCTCAATCGTGACCGAACGGTATGTTGGGAGGATGTAAATTAGACTATAATCACAATCTGACAGATAGAAGGCAGGGCTCTGTCCCCAATACTTGCAGAGACCCTATATTCTTTGCATTTAGCATAGTCACCTCTCATCGCATTTGTCGGAATTCGAATCTGGAACCTAACCCTTGTGGCACTTCCTCGCTACGAGTTGAACTACGCCCACCGGTGGATTAGAGGTTACGAGAATGCTTCATATATCCACCTTTATAATTACTTTATACTCACATATGTTTGTGAAGATGTTTTTTGTTTGTAAATCCAATTTACAGATAAAATATGTATTATTTTATTTGTGCAAATTTTGCGCAAACAAAATATTGTATGTGAGCGGAACTCACGGAAAATACATTCAAAAACATGGAATATAAAAGTGATATAAGAGTGGGTACAAACATCATTTTTGTAGAAGATCAAAATGTTACTTTTGGAGATTTTGGAATACTAATTGAGTATAGTGGAGGTTAAAAAGGGGATTAAAAATATAGGCATTTTTAAAATTTGTGTTGAGCCGGGGTCAGGATTGGCCTCTCTCCAGTTACGCCCCTGTTAAGAACACAAAGTTGTCAACTCTTTTCAACGAAATAATTGCTGTTATGTATACATCTCATTATTTAAGCTAGAAAACAATAAGCGTAATAAATAGTGTATAAAAAGTAAGCGAAAGTTTAAAAATATATAAGTGATAAAAAAGTAGAAAAAGTAAAGATAATTGATTTTTAAAAGGAAAACACCAAAAATGAAAATGTAGCAAACTTAAACTCATTCTCCTTAATATATTTCAAAACGGACCGTGAAGTTAAACTTTAAAAAAAGATGCTGAGTAATTAATTAATTTTTTTTTGCTACTTGATTCCAGACATTTGAGGATAAAATGTACTCCGTATAAAAGAAATGCGAGTATATATCTTTGTTCGAGAGGATGAAACCCCCAATCTGCTCAAACCAGAACCGGCCAGGCGGCCATGACCCTCAAAATTCATACTATAGTCTCCTTGTGTGCGTTGATGTCATGCGCAGCTCAAATGAGGGCCCAAGATGATCAACCACAAAATTTTCCTCCTCCCTGGAATAATCCAGGTAAATGATCTTCAACTCTCTGCCAAAGTGCAACCCCACATATTTTATATTGATGACTTTAGATTCCTATTTTCTTGCAGGTAAATATACACTTCCCATAACTATTCCAATTTTTGGGGTGATTATCCTCGGTATTCTGATCACAGTGTTACTATTTAAAAGAAAGAGTATTAGTAGCCATGGATTAATTTTTGGTTTTTGGATGCTGATGTGGTTTGGTAGTGTTGCTCTAAATACATGGGATATCCCTCATGTTTCCAAATCGATAGTGGGTTTCAACATTATTGTCAATATATTAGGTCTAATTTATTGGATACGCTTAGGCATGACGGAGTACAAAAGGAAAAACACATGGCCATTCAACCTAATGTTCGAGATTGGGGCCTGGTTTTCTATGTTTACTTTGAGCTGTGTTGAAGTGTTTGTATTGCTCTTGGTCGGAAAGAAGCAGTATAATCAAGTAGCTAATTGGTACCCAGTGGCAATCGCTTCTATTACGATGCTAGAAAACCTCTGGACAAAGGGTAAAGAAATTAGAGCGCAACGGTTGAAATCACAACTTGTTAAAGATGTAGAGAATGCGTTTCATGAATTCATAGAGGTTTGCATGAAAGACCCACAAAGCTGTAATATAACAGAGTTCGACCAAAAACTAAATGATTTCACTAAATTGTTCGACGTTTTAGTTGCCCAGCAACGGGAGTATCTAAGTGTAGCTCAACAGAAGATGGCCTAGATGCAGCACGCTTGACCAGGTGTTCTGAAAGAAGGATATTAGACATTTAGATCCAAACTTGGCGAGTCAGGGAGATCAGGCGGCGTAGGCTAGCAGAACACAAGGACACATCAGCAACTTATATTTTGTACAAATAAGCAAAATATCTATAAGCAATAAAGAAACTACGAAGTATATTTTTTACATTTTTTCAGATTACTTGTGTGTAATGACATTATCATTTTCTTATGCTTTTCCCATACATTCCCAAAAAAGTATAAGAGTTTTTCAATTTTTATCAATTTTATAGAAAAATCATATAAATGACATACTTTTGGTTGAAGGTTAAAACAGGGTGATTTCTTATAATGCGGGAATGCATAGCATCGTGGTCTAAAATACGGGAAAAATTTTAGGTTTTCTGAGTTTGCGGGAAACGTGGGTGTGCAATTTGAAAATACTAGGCCGGGTTGCTTGGGGAAATATAAAAACGGATTACTCTGAGTAATATTTTCACTGTGCCAGTATAGTGCAATTATAATATATGTACTGATACAAATTTTAGACTTGTCACTGAGTAATATTTTCACTCTGCCAGAAACTAGAAAAGGACTAGTTCTAGACATAACATTTGCCAGAAACTAGAAAAGGACTAGTTCTACACGAGCTTGTGAAAATTATACCAGTATAGTGCAATTATAATATATGTACCGATACAAATTTTAGACTTGCCACTGAGTAATATTTTCACTGTGCCAGAAACTAGAAAATGACTAGTTTTAGACAACATTTGCTAGAAACTAGAAAAGGACTAGTTCTAGACGAGCTTGTGAAAATTGTACCAGTATAGTTCTAGACGTAGTCTCAAATTACTATATACATTGATTTATTATTTAATACATTATAACAAATATTACTGAACCAATTATTTTTACTAATATTTATTTAGTATGACTATATCAACTATCTTAATAACAATTAAGATCAGTTGGATATTAATATTAAAAATTTTCTAAATATTGAGATTGACATAAAAAAAAAATAAGTTCACAAGTAATCACAAAAAGAATAAAAATTTAATTAAATTTCTAACCTCTTTAAAGGACACAACGAATTAAAATCAGCAACAACACTCAATAATTTTATCTAATTGAATTTGTTTTTTTTTTGTAGTGTGTTGAATATGATGTTGGAGGTATTTAAAGAGGTAAGAATTGTGGTTAGATAGTGAACAACCGCACAAAATAAATTGTAGGGTTGAGATAATTTTACTATGATCAGGGTTGAGAATAAGAGGAGGAAAGCACAATCCGCGTGGTATTCATTTGGCCAATCAGAGAGCTGTTTCGTGGAGCTGATGGGATGGAGCTGGTGATCGAAAATTCGGATTACATACATCCGACTTTATTTTTTTTTCATGCTGACATGCATGATAATGGTTAGCCTCTGACACATGCATCAGGCATCCGACTTTATTTTTTTTCAAATTGGACTTCTGCTTTTCGGATTAAAGGAATCCGACTTCTCCTTCTGACAATTATGATCCGTCATTTCCGTCGAAATTGGAAAACCCCACAAAACCTACAAAAAACCCCTACTAAAGTCGGATTAGCCAACCCCGTTTCCCGTAAATTCATACCCTAACTCTGACATTCGTATTTTGGGAATGGATGCATGGAATTCCCGTAAATCCGTCCTTTCCTCATTAAAACACTTGGACTTCAAAAGTATTATAAGTCCAAAACATTAAAAGTGGAAGATGGAATAAGAATGCAAAAACATGTATGGTTGAGTAGAGTTGTAAACGAACCAAATCGAGTCGAATAATGAGATTTTGTATTTGTTTAATTTTTTCGAATTCGAATTCAAATATGAAACGAATATTAATTTCGATTTGTATTTGTATTTTTTTAACAATACGAATAGTTAACTAATCATATACGAATATCGAATCGATTTGAGCATAAGTTAAATATAAGTCAAATATTACTCTAAAATAGCTTTTCTTATGCTCCGTATGTTTTATGTTGTAAATGCATGCTATGGCTTAATATGTGTTTTTAGAATTTAAATTTAATGGATCAATGCATTTTTAGATAGTGCACAATATACTAAAGTGAATTAATTTTATGATTAATAAATATAAATCTATTTCAAACCTTTTGAAACAAACACTAACACGCACATATTAGAAATTATACTTATAATGTGTGAAATAATTTGATAATTGTATATATCAAAGTCAAACAACTCTAATTTTATTCTTCAAATCGAATATATAATTATTTGTCTTGTATTTGAAATACATTTGAACCAAAAAATTGATTTGTATTCGTATTTATATTCTAAATCATTACAAATGGTCTTGAAATCTGTATGTAAAAGTGTATATATGGGCTACAGTTTGAGGGCATTGCTATCTTTTAAAAGTTAATATAGTGTTATTACTATTATTATTATCAATATTGAAAATAATATTACCATTATTATTAATCGCATATATTTGATTAATATTCGAATCGAATACACTGATATTCTTATTTGTATTTGATAAAAACTCGAATCAAATTTAATATTCTTATTTGTATTTGTATTTAAATTTTCCGAATTCGAATCGTCTTATACGAATTCGAATCGCGAATCGAGCACAAATTAATTGATTCATTTACAACCCTATGGTTGAGAACTGTTGAGAGGTGTGAGAAATAACAAGTTTATTGATTTAAGAAATTTAAGAAATGGCCAGATTTTTAGATCGCTAAATGTTTGTCCCGTTTCCAACAATCAAACGTTAAATAGAGTCGATTAGAGAACAGAAGAAACTTTGTATTGAATATTAAAATGATATTTGCTATTACAGCATAGTATTCGAATACATGTGCATCTCTCTCTTCTCTCTACTTTATGTGTGCATGAATGCCTATGCGAATGTATTCGATGCTTAGGGTTTCAAGCCTTTCCTCTAGATTTTATGTCTGGGGGTTAGGCCCGTTACAATAATAAGCCTATGAAAAAGACATATGAGCCCTAACATTAAGTTGCCCGTTGTCTATTAATTAAACTAATTACAACACAAATGAAAATAAATAAAACATGATTGAACATCATAAATATTCTCTAACAATCTCCCCTTTGATGTTCAATCATGTTCAATCAGCATTGCAGCGCGAATATCTTTGTCTTTGAGTTGAATCTGCAGTATAGAGGTAGGAGAGATTGATGAGATTGGTTGAGTTGTCGCTCCTCTTTAGTCTTTTGTCTTATTGGAAAGGCATTGTGAAGAGATCCTTACAAGTTCCCTTTTGAAGTCTTCTAGCAATTCCTCCTTGCCTTTCATAAGTTGTTTTTGATCAGCCTGAGTGAAGTCTGAAAAATGATTGATCTAAAGAGTTCCAGGAGCACACGAGATTCATCTTTAGTATTTGATTACCCGACCTCTGTCTCCTCCAAAATGTATCTTTTTTGACTATTTGATGTGAAAGATCTTGAGGGACAATGATATTGCTATATTTTTATTATGTATGGTTGCATTTTTAATTAGTTTTATTATTTGTTGTTGTGAAAATTGCACACTTTTGGTGTAACTACTTTATTTTTCTAGATAGTTGTAATTTGTTTAGATTATGATAATTTTGAGCTTAAAACAGGTCAAGATCATCCAAAGGGTCAAGATTGGACCGTAAAAGATCAAGAAAAATGCAAAGGGACGAGAAAAAAAGAAGATTGAAAAAATATTTCATATACTCATTCGGGTATAGGCAATACCCGATCGGGTACTGAGTTGATTCGGGTGTCAAAATCAAAATCATAAGTCCCTCCTTTTCTCCTGAGCTTCTGGGCTGTGTTCTGAGATCCATTGAGTTTGGCTGATGGAGGGCCATCTGGCCGATGGAGGAGCACATTGGTGTCAGCTGTCTTTGCATTGAGTCTTCTGAGTATGCGGACCATGGGGTCTGGCCCCATATACTCTATCAGGAGTCCACCACTCTCTGAGTTGAGATGTAGACAACGTGAAAGGGAGTAAACCATTGTTGCTTTGATGCTTTTGGCCGTCGTGGAGCCATGTGTAGTTGTGGTTTGGATCTCTTCTTTGTATATAGCCGTAGCATGGTCCGTTGGCTTCTTTGGACGATGCAATTGGTGTTGTTTGATAGTTTATGATTTGTCCTCTTTTGGAACTGATGCAAATCTATTGCCGTTGTTTCTTGTGGACGATGGAGTGTAATCATTGTTCTTGAAGACGATGTGTGTCCATGACGTGCACTTTGTCATGGTGTGCAATCAAAATAAATATTCAATACAACAATTATACGTAGTATAATGAAGTAAGGTTCATATCCACAGGGAAAGGAATATTTCTCTTTTATGTAACTAGTAATAAAGGGGGTTTTATGATTGTTCTTGAACTTAAATATATTTAAACACTAAGATGAATGACTTATGTGTTTTACTTAAATGAGATGAACACTTGGTTTTGCTTTTATCCACTTAATGAAATGTTCGTCGATCCCGGTTATATCTTTAACTATCACCCTCTCGAATACTCAGTCGATGAGTATCTCCAATTCATCGAGGGTAGTTATTAATAACGAGACGTGTTCATTAATAAAACTTGCTACCGAGTCAATATATATTAACCCGGTAGTAGCAATAAACTTAAGATGAAAACGATTGAGATTGATAACCTCAACACAAGCAGTTTATTGGTTTAATCAATATAATTAATTCCCCTTAGATTATTAACCATGAGACGCAAGCATTAATAATCCAAGTTTACTACTGTTGAAAGAACCGAATTAATAACAAGCGTATTAATCGATTGATCCTAGTAATAATCAATATATGAAACAAAACTAGTTGATCATTTAAGTAATGTTCAAAATATTAATATGAAATATGAATATGAATTAAATAATATTCAAGGAAGAAGATTAAAGCAAATAAATACTACCATAATTAATGTCAAGATGTTAACTAATTGTCATCTTAGCAACACTTCCCAACATTAATATAGAGACATATTAAAGGAAGAATTAATATTCAAGGAAGAAGATTAAAGAAGAATAATTCAGAACTTACGATTCATTAAGCTTCAAGGTAGCAAAACAAAGATGGAAGAGTTTAGCTCCTCATTTGGAGACTAAACATGATGAAAATATAAACAAAGAACTTATCTAGACTGAACTTATAAGTATATGTGAATTGGTGATTTCATTGTGAAGGAAAGGGGTGTATTTGTAGACTTTTGGGAGCTGCAGGGTCTGATACCTGACCGGGTATATAGGATACCCGATCGTGTATCTTAGCAAATTTCCCAGAAATTAACTTTTCTAGGCATACCCGGT